TCAATATGTACACAAAATCAAATTTATTAAATAAATAATGAGTTGTGCAATGAGTCCCTTAAATATACAAAAAAAAACGATCAAACTACTTACATAAGATTATTTCTACTTCGCTTAAGTTATTTGAATGACACCCCCTTTATTCATCTATTTTTTTAAGATTGTATATGTTAAATCATTCATGGATTCTTTAATCATCAATCACCGTCGAGTAGGAATTCTGCTAGAAGGTAAGCAATCTTTCTTCGCATAACACTCCTTTTACCCATCAAACAAACTAAAAATAAACATATTAAATCATTAATAATCCTCTATACTTTGTTTTGAATTTAAAGCAACAACTTCCAACTTAATGAACTATTGGCTCGGGTTTGTTTACAATATTTACTAGTTTAAGTACTGTAATATCGGGTTTGTTTACAATATTTACTAGTTTAAGTACTGTAATAAACTAACCCATGCTTGGTCTGAATAGTCGTGAAAATGATACTTCTGGAGGGGAAAAGAGAGAATCGCAATTTCTTACTCCAACTCTTGATATTGAAAACTTACTCAAGGGAAAAATAATTGAATAGTATATGAACTCAACGAGAGAACTGGAAAAAGAGGGGAAGGGAGAAAATAAAATATTAAACAAGGTAAGTAGAGGTGTCATCCGAGGTCTTATTTCCAAAAACTACAACCACTTCCTCTTTGCCTTATCACTATTTCTCATTAATCTTACTTATTAGTTCATTATTCACCTCTTGTTAATTGAGAAGCGCAAGGGTGTGGATCGCACAAAAAAACTATTAACATCAGTCTCCTTAAACACGTGTTTTTCCTTGCTCCGATCAGACAGTAATCATCAGGTACATCTTACCAAAAGAACTCATACGTACCACTTTTACGTCACAACCAGCAAGTTTTTCATCATGAAAGGCATGCGTGACGGGAAATGAAAACATAAAGAGCACGACGTTGATATCAATCGTACATTGACTCGTAAATATCTCTTAGAAAGCCTGACTTTTAGATACTCATACATCTTGTTAGTACTTGGATCTCGTACATAAGATAACAAATTAGAAAGTTCGAACATTGGTAGCAAAATAAGCGCACAATGAAACAAAAGGCACCACCAATGTTGATTAAGCTAGTGTTTAGCTCACTTAACTTCGAATGCTTCCCTTAAAAGTCCGACTTTGAATGACACTCTCTCTCTTTCGTGCACTACACCGAACTTTTGTTACTACCATAAGAAGATGGAAAGCCTTGCAGATCATACATGATAGTTGATGACATCAACAAGATTGATCACTCAACTTCTAAAGCAAGTTCTCTGAGGAAGCCTTACTTGACAAGCTCTCGTACATCGCCAATACCTCGTTCACCTCATTCGGTTCTACCACACCACAATCGAGATGGAACGTGCGATAGGTGACACAGACCATGCAAGGGAGCAAATGACGTTAAGAAAGGAATGTCTGCACATCTCTCTCAAGTGGCGAACAAAAAATTGACTCCTCTCTCACATGTGCACTGCTAGTACCACACTCGTTATGTTCATCCTCGCTTCACTAACCGTATGACGAGAGTAAGTGAGCAGCTCAATTGACATGAACTGTAATTTTCACGTATAGAACTCTTTCTTACAAATTTGAACTTGGGTGCCTAACCACACAACTAATGTCTAGCTTCACACATTACCCTTGCTTCACTATGAAGCAGAGAGTGCGCGATGGTGGGTGGCGCACGTCACTTCAAAGAGTAAATGATGTTAACTCTCGAGTACAAGCATGCTCTCGACGACTATTACACAAAGTTCTCCGACAACCAAACTTTGATCGTGTGTCAGTCCCTAGTCCCCTTCTCCTCGTGTCTAACCTCAGTTACACCACACCAGAGATGAAGAGTAGCTCGGATCGTGCATGGAAACAAATAACTTCTACAGTGGGATCACACGTGCAACTCTTGCACGAAAGTCTACTCTCTAAAACCTATAGGCACCGCTAATACCTTACAGCGACAACTCCTCTCACTAACGATCTCATCACTCTCTCTCCTGCCGTCTGTAACTACGTTGCACCCTTAGGTCCTCCGACGTCGCGAGCTAGCCTCGGGGCCGTCTTCCACAGATGGCATTGATGGGTGGTCCTGCAACCACTAATCCGGTCCATGCCAGGACTGGGTCTCCACGTCACTGGCCTCGGACTCTGCTTTCAATCATGGTCCAGGTCATGCTGCTTTCTCTTTGTAGTTCCCATTGAGGTCCCCGTCTTATGGTAAGCGATCGTTACTTCAAGTTGGGCAGTAACACAGTCTCGTCGAAACCTCCTCTTTGCTCTGTTCCTAGCCTCCGTAATTGTCGCCTGCAATTTCTGACCTCACCTCATTTTTGCCTCTCTACCCCTTTCGACATTAATCTTCAGCTTGGCCTTCTCACCGTCGAAGTTCAAAATCGTCGTGATCCAAAAACCTTTTTCCGATACTAAGGCCAAGCGTACCAAGAGTCTCCACACCCCTATAGCCCTCTAACCCCTTTTGACACGTTATAGCCACTCTTCGTTTCAAGATTCATTTTTAGTAAGACTAATGATTAGCCAGAATCTCACAAGCTAGGGGCTTACTAGACTTTGATAATCGCAGCCTGAGCACTTTCTCTCTCCGCATTGCTATCCCAGACTTACAGAGCAGTTGACATACAACCACAGACCAATGGCGGGATGATTCAACGACCGACTTTTATAAACAAAAAGTATCGTGGTCCCCGTGCTCTAAACGAGAGACCAATAAATATATTAAGGATATAATAAAATAATGTCGGTCAATGATAGTTATGCGGGTCTGTCGAGACTAAAGACCCAACGGTCGCTAAACGCGCCCATCCGTGATCAAGTCCAACAATTCTTTTCGACCGGCCAATTTCTTACTTTAAAAGAAGCATTAGACCTATCATTAATAGGGGTCCGTATCCGACGGTAAGGAGGGGGGTTATGACCCTCCATGCTTCCTATCGATGCGGCCGCGGTACCCTCATTTTGAGGGTTAGCTCCACGATGTCTGATAGGTTGTTATCACCAAGCAAAATAGGTTCGGCCAGTCTAGGCCGTCCACCTTAGAATTTTGAAGCGAATGAACCATTTGTTCCCCTGCAAAGTCACACAAGGGAACAAAATTTGAAAAGACAAAAAAAAAACCGAAAAGAAAATTAAACTTCCGCTCATGAAATCATAAAACCGCGTTGGACTTAGACCATCCAATTGTTCAAATCTAAAATAAAGATCCAGATCAGGGCGCAATTCTGATGCGCATCACTCTGCTTTCTTTTTTCACTCCTTTTCTTTTCTTCTCTTCTGATTGTGACCGCGGTTCCCGTACACAACCCATAACTCGACTAAGGGGGAGCTAGGGGGAGCTAGGGGGAGCTCGGCTCGCAGTAGAAAAGACTGAACCGGTCCTTCTACATCGGATAAGTTAGGCTGGATGAAGAAGCAAATACGAAAGAAAGGCCAATGACCAATGAAAGTAGTAAACCAATGACCAAATACACACAAATAGGTGCAAACTCGTGTACTTGGGCAAGGCCGGTGGCTACCACGAGCATGGGCCAGTTATACTCTAGTGTACAGCAGGACACCGAGTCCACTTGGACCAATGGAAAGTCCAGTGGCGCCCCCCCTCCTTTTATCAGTGCCAGGACACAGCGCCCTCCTTCACCGTGCTGGCTGAGCCTTCCCCTACCCTGGAAAGATGCGGCTGTATATGAGCCACATATTTGTTTTTCCAGCGGGAAGGTACTGGTGGTTTAAACCACCAGTACCTCGCTCAGCTATCGGCCGCGGGCCTTCCCGTATACGCGCCGCAGCCTTCGGGAGGTCGGCCAAGGGCCGGTCGCTCCTTCTTGGCCGGAGCCCGCCAAGTACGGGTTGTTACTCACACAATAAGGAAAAAAAATATATATATATATAAACACAAGAAAAAAAACTAAATAAAAGAAGATATCGTCGTTGCTTGTTGCCGTGCCGTAGGGGAGAGAGAGAGAGAGA